ATATTTCAAACAAACTCCACGACCGCTTTTATCCATACCAGCAAATGGCACCTTAAAGTGATATACACATTGCGAAGTATTAGAAGAATAGTTGTAAATATGCATGTTTCTAGTGAAAGCATGAGAAACTTCAAAAAACAAAAATACTGACTTCTTTGGCACCTATTTGATGGAGCAGTGCCTCCTCTACATCAGTTATTTCTGCATCAATACCACCGATGACTTCATCCATAGTCAAAGGGATCTTCAGCCTCATTAATGATGTTGTTGTCGCTGGTGTTTGTTGTTGGAAAACCGAAACCAGCTGTCGATTGACGATCATTTCGGTTCTGAAGAGACATCGCTTAGAAAAGGATATGAGATGGTTAGATTATAAGAAAAAATATGATATGCAATGATTGTAATTTAAGCATATACGACCACTGATGCACACACTTCGAGGTACATGGTTCTATCATGGAAAGCTGAGGCTTTCAGAAGTAGAGCATTTAATGACAACGTCGGGTTTCTTTTTTTTTCTTCAGCTTCCCATTACACAGCCTTCGGCCTCGATCTGTCTACCGTTTCTCGTCGCAAAATAAGGAAGGATATTTCCGCATTTAGCAATTAGCAACCAACCAAGCTTTTTTGATGGTTAAAGTCATAACCTTGTACCATGCAAAACCAGGAATTGCAGTCAGTCTTCTCGTATGAATGATCAGGGTAGAAGTAACAACACTTGGGAAAATAGGAGAAACAGCGACAATGTGAAATGTTACTTCACAGCTCCACCCCGAAATAATTCAACGAGTCACTTAAATTCATAAGAACTCAAACACTTGAAATCCAGCTTAATATTGAGTTGAAAAAAGCGTTGTTCAAGTTTCAGCAGTTCCAAACGGATAGGTTTTTATTGGGAAAAAAATTTTGGTTTAGAGAAGACTCGTGAAAGGTGTAATCAGAAAAAAAGGGCATTCCAAATAAATTGTTCGAAAAAAATGCTGCCCTTGGAAAAAGTAAGGCAATATTTGGTTGATGCCAAACAAATAACAATGCATGAAATAAAAGAATTCAAAGGTTGTACACACCAAAAAAATCGTGTCCAGCTGCAACCGCTCGCCACGCGTCCGCAGAGGATTGCGCGCTCCAATGTCGCATGTGGTCTTTTTGACTGTCATCTCATCTCCCAATTCGTTGGAAAGACGTGTTATTGTTTATTTCTTACCTGTAAATCCACATATAACTAAAATATCGTTTGTTTTCCTTTTTAATTGCTTTTCTGGACTTCGTAGTCGAATGTCCTTAAGTGTATCAATCCTTTGTTTGTCTTGAGACAGAATGTAAAAGTAGCATCTTCTTAAATCTTTTGTAATATAGGTATTGAGTTTACAGTTTAGTAGTTTCAATTGAATTTTTTAGGCATTTATGCCAGCGGATCACACCATCCCTTCTTTTTCTTTTCATACTGTTATGTGTAGTATTGTATACAATGCGTAAAAACGTCACGTTTATTTTACAAAGCTAGACTTTTGAATGCTATGGAGATGAGACTGATTTTTGTTTTGGTCAGAGACAGCAATCATATGAAGGTTTTTTTAGACTATAGCATCGAGTGTCAACTCCGTACTTCTGCCTTTGGGTATCTCCATACTTTATAAGGATCGGCCGATTCAGATCGCCGACCCTTATAACGCTTAGGGTGTCTCCATACTTCATAAGGATCGGCCGATCCTTATGAAGTATGGAGATACCCTTT